GCCGTCCGGGAGGGGGGCGATCTGTCACGTGTATGTTCCTGTTTGTCCTTATTTGGTTCTTCCTGTGTCCTGTCATTATTGGTTATTATTTGAGTCCAGGTGTTCCCCGTTTAATTCGTATTGTTCCCAGGTGTGTCCCATTAGTTTCTTAGCATTTAAACCCTGTGTTTCCCAGTATTTTCTGTCTGCTGTTAAATGTCTTCAGTGAGTTTCTGGGTGTTCCCCGTTGCTGATTCCATTAAATTCCATGTTGAAGTATTCTTCTGCGTCTCCTCGTTCCCTCCTCCCCGAGTGACCGTGACAGCGTTGAAGGCATTGTAAAATGTTATGGCAACATGTTTTTCCATTACTTTCTCTTTTTTAAATTTTTTTTATCAGTTATACAGGATACAACTCATTTTTAAAGTCAGTTTAATGTAATTTAAGTAGAAATTTATTTATTATATACATTTATTTTAAGTTGATTGTACTTAAATATTTAAGGCAGCAACTTATTTTTTATGAGGGGAAAAAAAAAACAGTTTCGTAACAAAACACTTGTGTTTTCTTCCAATAGGTAAAGAATCTAGACCTGAGAGAAGGATTGTCCTTTTTGGGAAGACAGGAGTTGGCAAGAGCAGCGCTGGGAATACAATCCTTAGAAAGCAAATATTCAAGAGTAAAGCTTCACCTACATCGATGACTGCAGATTGTGTGAGTGGAAATAGAATGGCTTTTGGAAGAAAAATCACTGTTATTGATACACCTGGAATTTTTGACACGGTTGTTACAGAGGACGTCATCAGAGCTGAAATCATTAAATCCATCACTGAAATGGGTCCAAGTCCTGACATGATAGTAATGATTCTAAAGGTTTCAAGGTACACGAAACAAGAAATGGAGATTGTGGATATTATGAATTCATATTTTGAGCAGTGTGGTGATATCCTTAAACACATTTCAGTTTTATTCACTCACGGTGAAGATCTAGAAGGTCAAACCATTGAGGAATTTGTGAAGGAGAGTCCAAAACTACAGCAGCTTGTTGAAAAATGTGGAGGTCGCTGTCATGTTATTGACAACAAACACTGGAGAAAACGCTGGTGGGGTTACAGTAGCAACAGAGTTCAGGTGAAAAAGCTGTTGAGGACCTTCGAGAAGAATCTGAAGGGAAGTGAGAAAGGCTGCTTTAACAATGAGCTGCTTCAGATGGTGGAGGAAGAAATTCAAGAAGAGATTGAAAATATAGAGGATAATTTGCATGCAGAAGAGAAAAAAGGAAAAGCTAAAGAAAATGTTTATAAAAAACTTCTCATTAGGCTTGCTGGAGTGACCACAGGGACACTGATCGGTGCTTTCCTGGGCATCGGCATTGCAGTGGCAGCTGTTGTGGCTTTACTCAAAGCAGCAAAGTTTGCATCAGTGGTGAAAGCCATTGGGGTGGAAGCGGCTGCAGGTGCCAGCATCGGAGCAGCAGTGAGTTCAGGAATTGCTGCCGGTGTTCTCGGAGCTGCGGCTCTCGCAGGAGGTGTTGGAGGAGGAATCACTGGATACAAAGTGGCAGAAGAAGCTGATTCTGTGGAAGATGCTATAATAAAGGCAGCAAGAGCAAGCTGTGAGAATGCAAAAAACATTGTTGAAATGGCAGAACTCCCATGCTTTTTAAACACAATAGATGACATTTGTGAATAAAATGCTAAAATGTCTTGAAGAATAATATTTCATGAAACATTTAATTTGAGTTCATTTTACTACATTCATCATCATTTAACTCAAATGATCTTAAAGGGTTAGTTCTGCACATAATAAAAAATTATGTCATTAAGTACTCACCCTCATGTCGTTCCAAACCAGTAAGACCTTTGTTAATCTTCGGAACAGAAATTAAGATATTTTTAATGAAATCCGAGAGCTTTCTGTCCTTCCACTGACAGCCTACGCAACTAACACTTTCAAAGTTCAGAAATGTATAAAGACATCATTAAATGAATCCACGTGACTCCAGTGGTTTAACCTCAATTTTATGAAGTGATGCAAGTGCTTTATTTGTTTATATATATAATATGACTTTAAATAAAGTTTAGGTTAAACCACCGGAGTCACATGAATTATTTTAATGACGCCTTACACTTTAATCGCAAGACCAGCGATTTATCTTAACCTAACAGAAGTTGAGAGGGACAATGCATGAAAACACGAATGCGTGCTTTATGCCTGTACAGTAGAATAGACTGAAACATAAGTGCATGTGTGCAAATGAAACTACAATAGGCTACTGTAGAATTGGTTACAGCGCCATCTGTAGATTACCTCATAAATAGAATGAACTCCACGTTCGAAACGTCACAGCAGTGTTGAGCAATGAGCTTGAGGGATCTCGGGAAATCAGGGTTTATTTAAAGGATGGGTAGGGGCGAGAAAATTATATTTTGGAGGACGTGCACACAGTCACATGAACATCGTTTGCTCAAAGCACGTTTTTCTTTACGAGACGAAACGTTCTCGACAAAACGCGCATGGGAAATCTTTCTGCTAGTAGAGCTTTCTTTCCGTAAGAAGGCGCGCTGTTCACACAGGAAAAAAAAAAAGAAGACGGAAAAAAAAAGAAGGAATTCCGAACACGAGGTAAGATTTAAGCTGATGGACATGGCGATTTTGAATCCAGCGATATTTGCTGTTTTACGAAAAAGTTATGTTTTGAATGTCATTTCACTATCATCCTCAGATTTGATTAGAACTTACTTTATTTTACTAGTAAAGTAATAGTAAAGACTTTACTAGCAAAGTTTGTGGCTTTTACTCAAGTGTTTTATGTCGTGGTTAAGACATTGTCATGTATTAAAATAAACGTATCATTTTGCAAATAGATGAATGCATTTTTTTCAAATAAATAGTGTCCTTTAACCATTTACAACTTTAATTTGTTGTTTTGGACAAGACAGGACCAGCGTCCATGAACTGCAACCATTTCATTGTGTTCTTGTCAGGTCTGTGCTTAAAACAGAGGCAGCCAGTTAAAGAGACTGTTCACCTAAAATGAAAACTCGTATACATATACACCCACTGTCTCATTCCAAACCTGTAATGTGGCCCGATATTTCTTATAACAGATAAATCTTTGCGCTGTGAGCGGAGCTGTCAAGGTCCAAAAAGGACAAATAGTATAACTACTATTGTGTTACATTCAAAGTCTTCTGAGGCCAGGGGCATAGCCATCATTTCAGAAGTGAGGGGGACAGAATGTCCAGTGTAATTCTGTTCTATTCCATTCTATTCTATTCTATTCTATTCTATTCTATTCTA